TTAGTTTTAATTTGTTAAGCCCACATTGCGAAGTTTAAGAGTATAAAAAAATTACCACTACACACAATAAAAGGGTTACGAGCAACGGAGTATTTTGAAAGCGTGTATTGAAAAGGTTAAATCATAGGTTTATCAAGGGGTGGGGCATCTTATCAGTTTAAAGGTAAGTTAATTTAATTTTTAGTACGATTCGCGCATGCTTATTTTTCAAAATTCACTTGTGCACACGCTCCTCAAACACGTAACAAGCCTTTCGACGTCCCCGAAACGGTGTTTTAAATTTAAAAAGAATTTGTCGGTCTATTTGTTTGATTAATTTTAATGTGATAATTTTTATTTGGAAGGGAATACTTGCAAAGTAAACATTCCTAAAGGTTGGAATTCTTGTGACAGTTTGTGTTTATAAAATTTTACTCGTCACAAGTACAAAACCATAGATATGGAAAGGTTTACAATCAATCATATGTGTATCGTGCATAAAAATGTACCTACAATTGCAATATTTTCTTACTAAGCTGCTAATATTCCAAAAAACTACAAAATATTCCTTTATTTTAATGATTGACAGTAGCTGACATGAACAATAAAACGACATGATAACATAAGTTAAATGATAGCGTACTGAGTGAGTATTATGTTAGCACGATCAAACTATAAGCCTACAAAACAAACACCACCTTTATTTGTTGATAAATTGTTACGAAAAAACTGATTGATTTTCAAGAAAACCATAAATACATTACATTACCGTTGTATCATGATATCGTACCCCATAATTGTATCTCTATTAGTAACTATGGTGTACTAAATATCGGGTTGTTTGGAAAGTCATTTCGTTTTTTCCCGACAGAGGATTTAATTGTATTCTTTTGCACCCAACTTCACATTTAAGCCGTATAATTTTTATATGCTTTGAAAGCTCATATAGCAAGGCTTGTGTGTGAAAAAATCCAATTAATTCTACGCAGTAGTTTTTGTTAGTGCGCTTTTAAATATGGAGAGCTATAAGCAGCATTTTCGACATATCTTACTGTTTTACTGTTTTACTACAGAAAGGGTAAAAATGCTGTTCAAGCCAGAAAGAAATTGACTGATGTGTATGAAGAAGGTGTGTTGACAGTACGCCAGTGCCAGAACTGGTTCGCTAAATTTCGATCCGGCAATTTTGATGTCGAAGATGCACCACGTTCGGGAAGGCCGGTTGAAGCTGATAAAGACGCGATAAAGGCATTAGTTGATGTGAACCGGCGAATAACAACACGTGAGATGGGATTGAGGTTAAATTTATCAAATTCAACAGTTTATGAACAGTTGAAAGGCCTGGGATTATCCTCGAAGCTCGATGTATGGGTTCCCCATGTTCTCACAGAGAGGAATCTGTGTCGCCGTATTGACGTCTGCGATTCGCTTCTCAAACGTCACGAAAATGATCCGTTTTTAAAGCGCATCATCACTGGGGACGAAAAATGGGTTGTATACAACAACGTCAAACGCAAGAGGTCATGGAACAAAAAAGATGAACCGGCTCAAACCATTTTCAAAGCCAATATTCACCAAAAAAAGGTGATGCTGTCTGTTTGGTGGGATTTTAAAGGAATCGTTTTTTTTGAGCTTTTACCGGATAACACAACGATTAATTCGGAAGTCTACTGTCATCAGCTGGACAAACTGAATGATGCACTCCAACAGAAAAGGTTAGAACTAATCAACAGGAAAGGTGTAGTGTTTCACCAAGACAACGCGAGACCTCGCACAAGTTTGGTCACTCGCCAAAAGCTTTTACAGCTTGAATGGGATACAATGCTACACCCACCATATTCTCCAGACCTGGCACCATCGGATTATTATTTGTTCCGGTCACTCCAAAATTTTATAGACGGTAAAACCTTCACCTCAAATGAAGAGATCAAAAACCTCCTCGATCAGTTTTTTGCCAGCAAAGACCAAAAATTTTATGAGCGTGGAATTATGCTACTACCAGAAAAATAGCAAAAGGTGTTTTTGTTTATTATGCGAAAACTGTCCTTCATTTCCACAAAAAAAAACAACCCTATATGATAAATCCATAATTTATTGCTAATTCATTACTAAAGGTTATTTAATATCCTCAACACGAGTAAATAAATAAATCAATGAAAGCAACGATAAAATAGCACCAAAATATGCTGAAGGCGATCTCTTAACATATCAATACATATATATATTGTGGATGAATTAATATTACTTCTGAACCGCTTCCTCTATAGTTGCACACAATTTCGCTCAGACTTATAAGACATCTATCATGAAGGAGTAACAAATTAAGAAATCATTTTAATCAATATACCACAATTATTAACAGACTACAACCATAAGCTACGCTATCTTGATATGACGGTACTATATCTACTACCTATTACTTTTTTGGTAAAAATGTGGCAACAAATTATGGTACTGTTTGTTTTGTGAACATATGGTTTAGCTTTATAGACATTCGTAGGGGTGCGTAATAAACCATTAACGTTCAACAAGATTCAAATAATCATAACAATATTTCGCTTAATTATATTATTGATTTGAATGTTACAATAACCATAATAGACGAAACAACTAGTTACGTTAGTTACAGTTAGTAACGTAAAGATTTTAAAAAAATTAAACAGTTTTTATTAATGCGGCGCAGTATATCAAGATATTCAAGGATCAATACTCGTTCAGAAGCGTTGTGTTATTTGTAAAAACTACTTATCAATTTTTTGAATATTATCAATAAACTACATTATATTACCGTGTGACGTAAGACACGCAGGATGTATGTATGTGACATGTATACCTTCCTACACCTGAAATCCGATTGTGGTGCCTTAAATAACTTTAAATTTCACATTCAAAAAGCTCTTTGTTATATACCGAAATATAAAAATTAAACGTATGACGTAGGAAGTCTAATACTTTTAGTAAACTACCCATACAGCAATATATTTCAAGTAATAATGTGTTGTACGCATGTTCGCGTTTTACTAAATTAACACGGGTCCACAATATTTGAGTTATTAAAAGAGAAAAACAGTAAGATAATCATTTTTGGCGTAATTTGCAACGCTCAAATAAATCTGCCCTTAGCATTACCTCGACATATCAGGATTTCGAATAATGCTAACCTCAAAATTTAAAGAAATGTAGTTTTTACTTTTTTTACAAGCCGATAAAATAGAAATTAATTAGGACTTGTAGGGCAGCTAAAGAACAGTAGAGTAATATGAGGTGTAAAGATGTAGAAAAAAAGTTTAAAGCAGGTAAAACATACGAGGCTTATAATATAATTAAATGGAATTTTAGAAAAGTATTAGGGTACTGTAGTAATAATACAATAAACGAAGAAGTCATTTTAATAGAAAATGAGGAGCAGGCAGATAGATGGAAAGAACGCTTAGAGAACCTATACGCAGGTTAGAGTTAGGAAACGTATTATAGACGATAGTTTGGAGATAGGTGATCTAGGATACCTCATAATAAGCATAGGGTTTGATTCAGCATTAAAATTTTTTAAGTACAATAAGGCACCGAGTATAAATGGCATATAAGCGGAAATCGTTAAACATGAAGCCAAGAAGTTAGAGACGGTATGTCTAGGCTAGTTAGCCACATATACGAGACGGGGAATATCCCGGAGGACTATAAGTGGAACGTGGCAGTAGTTATACCAAAAAAAAAGATACGGATGGATGTGAAAAATTTAGAAAAAATAGCTTAACTTCCCATACGTCAAAAACCTTAAACTAAAATCATACAAAGAAGGATGAAAAAAGAGCGGAAGAATTAGAAAGGGAAGACCAATTTGGATTTAGAAAAAATAGAGGAACGCGAGAGGTAACATTAACTTTGAAGTTCTACTACGAATTCTACAGTCATCTTCGTAAAAAAGTAACCGATTTTAGTTGCTTCTACAAAGCACAATAAGTAATTTGAAGACTAGAGAGATGGATATAGATATAGAAAACCGTAGTATAATTCGAAAGAAAATAAAATAGTTCATAATACTATGAAACAACATACAGGGTGTTTCTTTTGAGATCTTAAGATAGTGTAAGGTTAACAAAATCCACCACTAAATAAGTAACACTCCGTATGTAATTAACCCACTTTGAAAGTATGGAAGGAATATTCCCATTTCTCCTGAAGATATTGTTGCTTCAGATTTCTGATTGTAAAATATGCATACCTTTTTGGCTACCTACTATTGGGTTACTATTTAAAAAATAATAATAATTATCTCAAAAAAGGAAAATTTTATAAATAGGAAAGCCTTATGAAAGTCTACCTAAAATCATAAGTAGAATTCAAAACCGTAATAGTACTCATTTAAAAAAACGAAGTTGGTGTTAACTTCCAGTATAACCGGAAGTGTGTAACATAGATGCCGTTATTTTAATTGCGGAAAGCATACCCAATAACGCTATTGTCCAAATTTTTAAAATTTAAATTTGACGCTTAAGTAACCGAAAGTAATTAAGCTACTCTCTTCTGCTATTGTCTTTTCAACCCACCGTGGTAATGCTCTATTTTTCTTCCGTTTTCTCTAGTTTCTCACTTTTCCGAGAGCACTATTAGTACATTTTCGATATATCCTAATCTTAAAACCAAACAATATTAGAATTTTGAGATTATGATATTTCAAAATGTTGATGTTCATGCTAAAATCAGATTCAAATCTAGTAACAGAATATTTCAAAATACTAAAACTATTCAGCTCAGTGTTGCAAATTACATCGAATATATATGATCACTAGTCTTTGTTTTTCGATTAGTGTAAAGCAGTGAACTAAGGAGTTTATAACCTTAAAAGCATACGACTTTATTCAAGACGATAAACAACAATGGGATGATTATTCTTTGTAGATATAACTGATATAATAATTCTAAGTAAAGCTCATTAAGCAAGTAAAGCAAGCAACGAAAATAACAAACACGAAAGCTTAGACTTGATTATCGAGGGTAAATAATTTAATTAGTGCACTCACATTCTGTAAGCGTTGATTGTTTTAGACATCCTCCTGTAAGAGCCCAGTCAAAAAAACTTGAAACACTTGAAGCATCACCTTTTTGTTCGACAATTAGGTACTAAACCACTTAGTCAACGCTTATGTCGATTTAAAACTTAGAAGAAATATTGATGTGACTTTATTACTAATGGTGAAGTGAATTTTGCAAGCAACTTACTTAAAAGTCAGATTTTCTTCGTTAAAATACAAATTTAGTAAAATTTCATTGACGCTTTTTAACTGAGGTACTATTTGGTACCTAAGGACCTGAAACAAATAAAAACAACATGTAGGATAATAATAAATAGTTTGTACTTGATTTATTTTCAGTTTAAAAAAATGTTCCGCGGCGCTTTTAATATTTGGTTAATTCGCATTTTAATAATCACTCAAGGCTTCAACGGCATTTTATCAGCCTAGCACATCAGCTAGTAATACCTAATACCATATTTGTTCAGATTAAAAATAACAATTACGTTGAAGGGTTTGTAAGGTTTAATATGGTAAAAAATAATAAAATCACAGACTGCTACTAAATTAAGGGGTGAGTTTTTGAGAGCTGACTGAAATTGTCTCCTTTATAATTATAAACAAAACAAAGCAAAATTCCAAATTTTTATAAGAAAAAAATTTTTTTTTGTAGAGAATGAAATTTTCTATAGAAATACGTTTTTAATTTTTTTTATTCATTTATAGTGCTGAAAGTAATCGAAAAACAAAGCTAAAATTTTACGAAGTCGTGTTTTTGTCTTTTTAGTAATGCATCCCTAACAAGTTGTTAAACTTCAAAGTTTAATAGCTCGATAATAATGCATTCAACCTCAAAAATGTATTGATAACTTTTTTCTTGAAATATCGTGTTCTTTCCGATGATGTATGACAAGACAGCTGAAGACACCACATCCTATTTTTCAAAAGATGACAGCGCCCTTTTAATGATTGAAAGCACTGAAATGTTTACACTGGCGTAACTGGAAGGGACGCGGCAGTTGCCAATACCAGTATAAAGTAAGGCAGGAGCAAATGATTACGACAGAACCATAGTAAAGCATATTTGTCTATCAATAGCATTCCATTTAATGGAATCACTTTTCGATTTTGTTTATTGTTGTTTGTTTTTAAATATTTTGGTGAAAATAGTTTTATTGAAGTGTTCAAACTACGCTACCGATTTTGTAGTGAATATGGGTTATAATCTTATATTATTATTTTGTTGACCATGTACAATGGTGAATCACTGCGTAGTGTATGGCTACAATAATTTGCAGGATCGAAGAAAAAAAATATTATTTCATACGTAATCTAAAGATTTTTACTGCAGAATAAATATCGTAAAACTGGAAAAAATGGTAAATGCAAACATTATTCTTGCAGATTTCCCTTTAAACGTCCGGAGATCTTTCATCTTTGGATAAAAATTATAAGAACAGACAATTGGTATCCTTCAAGAACCAGTACAATTTGTAGTGTTTATTTGCATAAACACGAACGATCCTAAACTATTTCTTACAATGGTTTAGGTAGTGGCTGTAAGTAGATTTGAATTAGAGTGATTGTTTTAACGAAATATATAGTTTATTAACACTATTTATACAACACATAGGGTCGGTTTTACAAATACATAGTTATCTAGAGAACAGTTATTCCTGGAATTAAATTATCCCCCGAATATTTTGGCAAATACTAGACAATCGTTTTACAAGCACCTTTCAGTCCCAGGCTAACTATTCCTAGAATAATAAAATAATATTTCATGATGGTAGTGTAGCGACCACGAGCGTGATTGTGTGCGATCGGGCATACGTGTGTGAGCGGTTTATCGATTCGCCGACTAGCCGCGGGCGCTTTTCTTCATATGCGCCGTATCTGTAAACGTGTGTGTCGTACATGCGTTCCAGGAAAGCAATTAAACCGTTCAAAGAAAACGAGACTTCTCTGGACAGCTGGAGAATGTTCCCGAAAGGAGGCAAGAGAGTATAAAAAGGAAGAGACGATCGCCGAAAGGGGTAGAAATAAATTGACCGTTGTAGAAGTGAGAGTAGAAATAAATTGACCGTTGCAGAAGTGAATCTAGAAATAAATTGACAGCGCAGTGAATAGTGATTTAGTAACAGTACTGTAAATAAATAGAGTAATTTATCACCTAAGTTAGTTATAATTTAATAGTGTTTTTAAGTTCAATAATAATTAGTGTAAATAAATAGTTTTTGTCGTTGTGAGTCTGAAAAGTTAATTTGTTAAACCCACGAACATTACAGTATATACATAGTCGTTAGTGATAGATACCAAATAAAAAACATTGCGATCAGAATCAATTTACAGTCATTAAATGTAAGAACGCAGCCAAAAAAAGAAAAAACTTACATCGTANAAAGAAGTTGTGCAATTGTGTGAATTTATTACAATCATTGATATAGTATTTGATATTCTCAATTCCAGATCCTTATGGAAAGGGCTTTAAGGCTCAAACAATTCGCTATGTAGTAATTATTCGATTCGAATTTCGAATCTTACAGTAATATTCGACAATTATTATTTACAAATCTATAATATTTTTGTATTTCTTATTTATATTACAAATTTATTACTTGTACTTTCGCATAATTCTTTTCCGTTTGACGTAACCTTGAAATATTGATATATATATATATATATATATATTTTCTTTTCTTCCTCCGGACTGCTTGCTTTTCTTTTTTTATTTTCCTCTCGCTCGTTCCTTTGCTCAACCAGTGTTTCTTCGTTTCTTCTCCTTGTGTAGTTTTATTGTTTTCCTCCATTCATTTTACCTATTAAATTTTTCTGTTTATTTTTTCTCTTAATCCTGATATTTCAAATCCTAATAGAGTAAAAGCAAAAAAATCAAGAAAAAAGGGTGATAATGTCTTTGTTGGTTATAGAACCGACACTTTACTCTAAAATTTTCGATTAAAAAACATAAATCTCAAATTATTTGTATGTTAAAATCATATAAAATCAAAGAAGGGTAGAATTATCTTATCAGGGTGGTATGGATCTAAAATTTGTATGATCATATTGAAGATTACAATCTGACTTGGTGTATGTTGATAGGTTTGTTTGGGCCCCGCCGAATGTTATGGATCATACAGTTATATTGTTTTCAAATAAACTTCGTATACAGTTGGTAATCAGTTGAGTTTGAAGGTTTACATTCGTTTTATTAACTTAAAAGAATACAACAGGGCATTTAAAACTAGGTGTGTAACTTACTGTTTGACAACATAAGGCCTCGGATGCTATCATCTCAAAGTAAACATCAATGATGCGGCTATAATTAATATTACCAGTAAATTTACCCTATGTTTGGTCCTACAGAACATGCATTCTTATAGACATATTTCAACAATTAAAGCACAGTTTTTAATATGGTGATTTTCTCTTTTAAAAAATTAATGGTTTTTTGTAGAATATGTGTCTTACATTTTAGACTAAACAACCTAAGAAGAATAAAAATAAATAGTGTATGCAAATTGTTTCATCAATGATGAGTAGGTATCTACGTTGTCTAGTGTTTTTTACTTCTTTGTCTTTCCTTTCGATTAGCACTGCATAATCCTAAAGGTAAACATAATGTATAAGTGAATGTTACCAATTTCTTATTAAATTGCATCCTGTAAGTAAGTTTACTACCAAAGTAATTTTGAAGAACACTATACAAATTTTCATTACTATAACCCCTGTGTGATATTTCTTTAATACTATCTTTCATGTTATTTTTAAATCCCTCTTAATTGCTTGTTTCAGTGTTTTCACAATTTTTTACAATTGAAACAATTTATTGACAATTATAGTTTGAGTTTCACTATCGGCAAGTACTTGCCATGTCATAAAGAATACAATGGCACTATGATAATGTTACCTACTAAGGAATCAAGGAATGTCTGTTTACAGAAATACCGTTTATAAGATGATAATGTTGTAAATAAGATATACGAATAATGAAATTAGTAATAACAGAAATAAGGGTTCGAGTAATAAAAAGGAAACGTCCTTGAAGTAAATCTTACTAAAAACTGTAAATCTTAGAAAAATTAAACTGTCAAGTTAGGCATGCATGAGTATCAATAGATATATTTACAGTAGTATTTTATGTGTGCGTTACATAAAGCTTTTAAAAAACGCAGATTCTATGACTATTTTACGGTACATAACATGTAGTGAACATTTTTACCAATAGACTACCAAAATAATCCGGTCTATAGGCTATACTCTTAAAATATTAAAGCTGAATGCAGTTCCCAGTATTTTTAGTTGTCTCAAACACTTATTATCGAAGAAAACTTCATTACATACAAAATTAGGAAGGCATGTTAGTTTCTGTTAAAGATGTAATAATAATTATAGTTAATATCATATTAGAATAAAAATCATACTTCAGATTGAAGAATCTCAAAAAAAAGGTTGAACCCATTGATATTGAATTCCAACAAACTCTACATTTCACCTCTGCATAGACGAAAGTACTTGCAGATAATGAAACTCAAACTATAATTGACAATAAATTGTTTCAAAGTGAAAACATTGAAACAAACAATTAAGAGGGACTTAAAAATAACTAGCATGAAAGATAGTATTAAAGAGATAATAATTGTAAGATCCATAACATTCGACGGGGTTAAAACAAACCTGTAGAGCACCCTGTACATATAATGTCGTTGTGCAAATATGTAAATCTTTTGTATGATATTCCTTTTCTGTGTAAATATTTCTCAACATTATCTTCTAACACGCCAAGAACCAAAACCCTATCAACATAAACCAAGTTAGGTTGTAATCTTCAATATGATCATAAGATTCTGTTTATACTCGATCTTAGCTCTTCCACAGCAAATTTTAGATCCATACCTACCACCTTCTTAAATTAGCACGAAATGCATGTACAGAAAATAAAATTAAATACCAGTACTGGAAATATTAGTTAGGAATATGTTAACAAAAGACCAATGAAATTCAACAAACGCAACTTTGCTCAACTAATTCTTTAACACATGTATATTACAAAAACACGATTATGAACGTACGGTTAGCAATTCGAGCATTAAAGAAGTTGTGCAATTGTGTGAATTTATTACAATCATTGATATAGTATTTGATATTCTCAATTCCAGATCCTTATGGAAAGGGCTTTAAGGCCAAATATCAGGACAAATACTTTAACCTTTTTTAAGGATGTTTATTCAAAATTTATTGATTTCCTTAGATTATTAAACATTGGTGATGTACCTTTATTGAATCATAATAGAAAA